CAAAATTTCTTAACCGTGTTCAAAGTACACGGATACAAAGCGTTATTTACACAAAAACGATTTTTCCATTTTCGGTGCTGGTACGTCATGGTCGTGACATATACTGTTAGCTGGGATGTTATTTTAATTCAACACCGTGAAACTTAAAGAAACCAGCAACGAAAAGACATGTGAGCTGAATTAAGGAAGCTACACCGCAAAATAAAGTATTTAAGGGCCTCCACAGACTAGAGAGATAGTTGTCGACAACTATTTAGTTGTCGATCATAAAAAGTTGTCGATAACAAAAAGCCAGTGTGTTAACTAAGGCCCTTAGTTATCGACAGCTAGGTTCGCACACCGGCTTTTTTTATCGACAACTTTTATGATCGACAACTAAATAGTTGTCGACAACTATCTCTCTAGTCTGTGGAGGCCCTAAGGCAAAAACAAGATTGGCGCCTGGCTTTTTTCGCGCAAAGAAAACCCAATCGTTTTCAAACTACACGGTTACCCCCGTTTACCACGGCACTATTAACCGTATCGTTTGAAAACGCTCCACTTTAGACAACGTTTTCAAAAGTGCACTGTTGATCATCATCCCCGTGTAAACAGAAGGCTTAGCCGAAAACGATGCAGTTACAAATGAAACCGTGTTCGTGTAAACAGGGCCTAAGAACAACATGAAACTAACAACAGATATATTGATAACCCCTCCAGACTTTCGCTAATATAGTAAAACTAAGTTCAATTATGTTTTATTGTTCTCTTTAGCACAAGTCGTGTGGATCATTCCAACACTCGTCTCTCCTCACAGCTCGATAGAAATCCTGGTAAGTCTGTGGCTCTTTCTCTGTCCTTTGCTTGTTACAAGACTCTGTTATGTGTTACTCCAATACAGCTATGTCACAGGCTCCATCAGTCTTTTCATCAGTCCATTTATTGTTTTCTGAGTTCTGTTCTGTGCATTTTCCAGTAAATTCAGTAGAAACAGTCATGGACCTTTGACTAGCATCAAATGCTAAATTTGAAAGATTTTGGAAGGTCCCCGATTAGCAACTGAGTGTCGAGATGGCCTAATGGTTAGCACATTGGACTTCAGATCGAGTGACACGGGTTCAAGCTCTGGTCAGGGTCACTGTGTTGTGTTCTTTGACACTCTACTCTCACATTGCTTCTCTCCACCCAAGAGTATAAATGAGTACCGGCGAATTGCTAGGGTGGCGAATTGCTCCGGCAGTACAGACTTTACTAGCTTGCTCGCAGGCTAATCAACTGTATGCGAGCCATGGGCAATTTTAATACAACATTTTTCTTTTCAATCAGGATCAGATGACAACAACCTCAACTCTATATTCTATGAACACCTGACACGGTCCCTTCAGCACAGCCTGTGTGGGGACCTTATGATGGGCCGTTGGGCCCCTTTTCCACAGGGGACTGTTTCGTGTTGGCGTCAGACTATTTGAATGCTTTGGTTCACATCATAGAAGTTGGCAACGGTCTGGTAACCTTTCAGGTCCGAGGGTTGGAGTTCAGAGGTGAGACTTGCAACTGTAGTTACATAGTTGTTTATTTTTTTCAACACTATTAATCTTCAAAATTGAGCCAATACAGTCAACTCTCGTTATAGCGGACACCCTCGGGACGTAGTTTGGAGTCCATAATAGTGAGAGTCCGCAATAGCGGGAGTCATTTTCAGTCAAACCTCTATAGCTTTCGCTGGAGGGAGGGCTGGATTTTATCCGTAATAACGGGTGTCCGTAATAACGGGGTGTCCACAAGGCGCGAGTTGACTGTATCTAGAACTGGAGAAAAAGTAAAAAAGAACAGATTGATATTGAAAACAGAACTACACTTCAACATTATATGGGTATGGGAAGAAAAGCGTACTCGTCATATTTAGAAGTAATATAACAAACACGAGAGATTTTTTATCCGATTTCTAAACACCGAGAAAATAGTGGAAAATGCGACGCGTAGCGGAGTATTTCTGACGAAATCGAGGTGTTTGGAAATCGGATGAAACACTGTCTCGAGTGTTTGATATATCTTCTCAATCGAAACAAAAGCTAAGGTGTAAACGGAGATATAAAATCTTAAAAAATCTGTGCTAATTAAGACCATGCAGCTATCCAAACCAATGGTTATGATTTCTTCGTTTTAACTTGATTTATTATTAATGAGTTTGAGAATGTTATGTCCAAAGCCATTCCTCGAGGATTTACCAAACTGTTGAATTTAAAACGAAACTAGTAGGTATCCCCCAAAGACTCCACGGCCACATGAAGTTGTTCCAGCTGGAAAAGTATCCTAAATTGTAATGTGTTATTTACAAGTTTGATCTTTCACCAGGCACGTACTGTCAGCAGCGAGAAGTTGAAGCCATCACCGAGGGAGTTGAAGATGATGATGGTTAGTCTTTTGGTCTGCTCTGTGTGTGCCTCTGACTTGGCTTATTCCCTTTGACACTCAACTCATTGAGTAACGTGATCCAAGTTGTTGTTGTTGTTGTTTTTTTATGCTTGGCCAATCAAATTTCATTTCTTTGCACGTACGGTGTTTGTCTCTTTGATTGCCTGAGAAGTTTGAACAACAGCAACAACAGAATGATGTCAAAGGTTGAACCTAAATATAAATTTTAAAATGTTTGAAAATGCAGCAAACGTGGAAACGGTAAAACGACCCGTGGGATACTGCGGAATATATAACAGCTTTCGTCAAAGCATGGATTAAAATGTTTTTACCATTGATTGGTTTGTGTTCAATTATTGATGTTGCTTCTTGCTTTCACTCCTATCCTTCTGTTATTTGTAGGTTGTTGTTGCTGTGAGCCGGGCCATCTTCCCAACATGCTTTCGTTGAATGCAGCGTTCTTTCAGCGGTGGTTAGCATGGGAAGTAAGCGCGACCAAGTACATCATTGAAGGTTACAGCATCAGTGACAACTCCGCGGCATCCATGTTACAAGTGTTTGACCTGCGCAAGATTCTAGTCACTTACTATGTGAAGGTGAGGCGAGGAAACTAATAGGACTTAAGCGATGTAAAACAAGGCAAATTTTCCTGCAACGTTTCTCGCAATGTTGCACGAAAAATTGCCTACTGTAACACAACCTGAAACTGAACTCGTCTCGTAACGTCTCGTAACGTTTTCGTTGCAGCAAGCGTTGCACAAAGTAGAATAAAGTTATACTTTTTACAAAGATTAAGGCAACGCTGCAGCAAATGTTTTATGCGTTGCCTGGGGGTGTTACACAAAGCAACGTCTCGTGCAGCTTGTCTAGCAGGAAAAATTGCTTAGTGTAACCGCGCCTTTATGTATGATTACGTCCGTTGCTCGAAATTCACCACCAACCTCGTTTACACGAAATTCTTCTCAACCTCTGACACTTTCATACTGTTTTGATGTGGATATTTTCATATTTTCTTCTTTGGGAATTCGTTCATGATAACTTTACAAAGTGAGGCTTGGGCGTGGAATTAGCTACAATCGTGGTCAAAACTGTTGAGACACTTTACCAAATTTCAACCAATTTGAGTACTACAGCCAATTTATTCAACCCCCTCCCCTATTTCAATGTTATCGCGTTGTGAAAACGATGTTAAAATGAAACAGGATGAATGGCAGCCCCATGAAACAACATTGAGCAGGGGAGAGGGGATAAAAATATTTCTACCCGCTCGTTGTTAAGTGACTTATGAAAAGTGTGTGATATTCATTTGTGTCAACTAGTTTTGACCACGATTGTAGTCTAATGTAAACATGCAGTGCCATGAAGTTGACAAAACCCTATACCTACCCGTAACTTGTTCATCATTCAATTCATGAAAACAAACTGCATTTTATGTATGGAAAGAAATGATGGTAAATGTTCAGCTTGGTAGATACACAATGTGAGAAATATTATTTAATCATAAAAGTGATTAATATGAATGAAATCATATATGAACTGGGGATGAAGATTGTAAAGTGAAGAAATCATCCTCATAGTAGTGTTTGCAATTTAAGCAATTGAAAAGAAGCCTGAAAAAATTCAGGGCTTCAACGGGAATCGAACCCACGACCTCCGTGTTGCCGATGCGATGCTCTACCAACTTAGTTATGAAGCCACACATTGAGAGCAAGGTCTATTGTGACTTCATAACCCCTTTATAAGACTAGTTTGTATGTAACAGAATCGCTTAAAATAGCGCGGCCTACATATTCTTGGTTTGCTACTGACGTCATCGCCGCCATGTTGGTGACCTTTTATTGTTTGTCATCCAACATGGCCGCCAGGGTCTTTGTCATTTGAATCTCTCGGGAATGGTTGCAAACCAGCAATAGCTCTTTTAAAGGAGCTACGTCACAGTTTGTGCATCGTGAAGAAATTCACCTAAATTTTTCAAGTTCGTCGTTTGCAAATGCAATCCGTCTTAATCTTCTCCATCCTCAACCATCCTTGTTCCTGTTTGGTTTATTATCACCTCTTTGGTGTTTTTCTACCTAGTAAACTATTATTTTAAGGCTTTCGTCAATTTGAAGGTGATTTTGCACTTCGCAAAAATGACTTAAATATTAATCGCCTCTTGATTTCCTTTTACAGTCTGTAATATTCTACGCAGTACAGTCATCTAAGCTGGATCAGTGGTTACGCAGTGATATTATACGAGAGCAGCTGGTCGCTGTACACGATGTACAGTACGTGGATATAGATCGCACCTTTTATCACAATATTGACGAGGATTACGATCTGCGACAGGGCGGCATCTCCAAATCCAGCTTTCTGAGCTGTTACCTGGCTTGGATCCAATACTGCGCTTTACGGAAGGACCCGGTCAGTAAATGCTCACAGCTCAACTGGAACTAGCGTGCAATGAATTCAGGAATCCACTTGTCTGTATTGATATATCCCGCATTAGCCTGCTTTGCAAGCTATTTCCAATCCAAATGTTAGAATACTCCTTATCACTGACATCTTGCTACGGAAACCAGAACAAAGTTCCAGTTGATATACGCAGTGGGGAGAAGCAGTGGAGAGACTCGGTGGCCTAATGGTTAGCACGCTGGACTGTGGATCGAGCGGTCTGGGTTTGAGCGCTGGCCGGGGTCACTGTGTTGTGGGTACCTGTGTTGTGTGAACTCTTAGGGCAACCTAACAAATTGCTGGGGGGGGGGGGGGTGGGGGGGGGGGGGGGGGTGGGGAGGTGTAGCGATACTCCTAGTCACTTCGTGCTATGGAAACCGGAATTAGGCACAGACAGACTTTAAACCTTGATATACGCCACTAGGCTCAGAAACAGGACTTTATAACGATCAAGAAGAGACTAAAGGACTTTTAAGAATCGAAGGTTAAAGAATTGTGGTAGTGTCCTTGGTTGTCAATGGATTAATTTTATAACTTTCTGCAATATGCTTCTAGTGTATAAATCATACTGATTTCTCACAAATGTTTGCATTGTTTCAGCCATTGACTGTGAAAGAGATTCTTTACTGGTCACTCTGTGTTTTGCATTGTGTTTGTTGGCGAGACGAGCATTGGGGACAGCTTCACATCCACAGTCTGCCAGGTAGGACAGATCAACATGTAATATCTCATTACTATGTCAATACATTACCAAGTAAAGAGAAGAGAATAAAGAAAATCATCAAACTGGAAGATATCGTCTTGATGTGCTACCAAATTCTCACAACTAACTTGTAAAGAAATATATGAAGATAAGTTAGGAGAATTTATATTTCGAGCTTCGTTTCATTTCCTTCCAGCCTGGAATCGTTTTTATACGGGCTACACGCGCTGTTCAAAGGAGATTTCCGAATCACTGACCCCAAGGACGAGTGGGTGTTTGCTGATATGGATCTTCTACGAAAGGTCGTCGCACCTGGAGTACGCATGTCACTAAAACTACATCAGGTAAGAAAGATTGCGGTCGCAACTAAAATGCTTTTACAAAAAAATCCGGATATGGCACACGCAATAAGGGGCTTTATTATTCTACTATTACGTCATTTCACCATATAAGGTCACGAGAACACGTAAAATATGCCACGGTATTGACTAGTTGAACAGAGCGAATACGGGAAATATCAATAATAGTCGGGAAAATTTTGGCAGTAGAATAATAAATCCCTTATTCGATGGTTTAACATATAATACGAGCGGGACATTTTGCTTATTGCTCGCATTTTTTTCTCGCACCTACGGGGCTCGGAAAAATACTACGCAACTCGCGAAATATCCGCGCGTATTATATGTTAAACCATCGAATAAGTGTATGAATAGACCTACAAAACCTACAAAATAGTGCATCAGTGTTCATTCGTTCGATATGCTATGAGAGGTAATATATCAAACACGAGAGCCAGTGTTTCATCCGATTTCCAAACACCGAGAAGAGAGTTGAAAATATGACATGCAGCGGAGTATTTTTGACGAAATTCGAGGTGTTTAGAAATGTTACGAAATACTGTCTCGAGTGTTTGATATATCTTCTCAATCGAATTAAAAACTAAGGCGTAAACGGAGAAATAAAGTCGTAAAGATTTTGCTAATTAAGACCACTGGTATCTAAACCTCCAACGCGTTTATGATTTCGTTTGTTATGACTTGGTGAATTATTAATGAGTTTGAGAAGTTTATAGATCACTTTTAATTTTGTTTATTCATCCGCTGAAATAAACGTTTGCTTTGTTAAATCAGTTCGTGATTTTCAAAAGTTCCTCATCTTCCCTATATATCCACATCCCACACGCTTATTTACGAACAACAACATAGAAAATAATTGTTTATTAGTTGTAGACTGAGTAAAATGAACGTCTTCTAGGTTAGAAGACTTCAACCTTTAACTTGTCTTGTTTTCAAGGATCACTTCACCTCTCCTGATGAGTACGAGGACCTTCCAGTTCTGTACGATGCCATCTCATCTCACGAGCAAACCATGGTCATCTCACATGAGGGCGATCCAAAATGGCGACAGGCTGTGCTTGCTAATACACCGTCCTTGCTGGCGCTCAGGTCAGGTGGAATATAAAGCTTAGTAACAGGCCATTTCCGAGTTGCCTTTTGCCTCTGTTTCAAAACGAGTCCTGGTCCACAACCATTCATATGAAAATGAGTTTTAGTGGTACGTTGGAACCTAAAGGCAACTCGGAAATTGCCTATTTTAAAACATACAGTAGAGATTTAACAAAAATATGCAATATCTGCTCATCTCCAGGAAAGGTAGATGTGGTTCGTTATCCAACAGAAGCTGTGCTTTCACGTTAGACTGGCATGCCAATAAAATAAACTCCATTTTAGTTTTAGAATTGTTTTGGCAGATAGCATGCGGGTTACAGCTTTGGTGTTTTTCAAGTGGTTAGTTTTTGTAGCTTCAAATGCTATAATTGAACCTCTTCTTTGAGTAACCCTTCATAACCATAACAGAATGTTGGTCCTGACCTCACACGGACACTACATTTATATACCACCATAAGGGGACACCTCATGAGGGCATCTCATAAGGGGACAACAGGGTACATAAGCTGGCCTCTTGTGGGTCGCTGTCTGCATACGACTATACGTATGTGAAAACAGGGTTTAACAAACTGCTTATAGGAAGCGTTGAGGTAAGTATATAGTAAACACGAGAGTGTTTCATCTGATTTCCAAACGCCGAGAAGAGAGTTGAAATTACGACGCGTAGCGGAAATAAGTGGTGTTTTGAAATCGGATGAAACACTGTCTCGATTCTCGATCGAAGCAAAACGTAAGGTGTAAACAGAAATCAAATCGTAAAAATCTATGCTAATTAAGACCGGGTATCCAAACCTCTGAGACTGTTTTGATTTCCTTTGTTATAACTTGGTGAATTATTAATGAGTTTGAGAAGAGGTGAAACCTAATCCTGTACTGTTTTTTTGTATTTTAGACATGTATTTGATGATGGCACAGACGAGTACAAGATCATCATGCTCAACAAACGATACCTGAGCTTCAGAGTTATAAAAGTTAGTACTGAAATGGTTTACTTGTCTAAGAACAGACTAGTCTGAAGTGTCAGCCGTCTCCTCGCTCTAACCCCCCCGTGGGCAGGCGAGAAGAACGTCTGAAGGCCGAGCGTTATAATGTCGTCCGGTGACGTCACGTACTCTTGCCCACGGGGGTTAGAGCGAGGAGACGGCTGACACTTCAGACTAAGAACAGACATGTAATGGTCGAGGCTTTACCCAGCGCCTTATACAAGACGATTGGATTATTTAGGCCCCGTTTACACAGACACGATTTCATTTGTAACCCTATCGTTTTCGATGCCAAATGCGGTCAAAAGTGGAGCGTTTTCAAAAGGACACGGTTACGAGTGCCGTGTAAACGGGGGTAACCGTGTAGATTTGAAAACGATTGGTTTATGGCGCCAGTGCTCAAAATAATGAATTACAATATTGTATAATATAACAAACACAATTTAATATAATGTAATATTGATTGTTGTAAGTTGTAAATGGTAAGAGGCACCTCTGAAATGGCTTATTGATTGCTCGCACTGACAAACCACTTGGTTAATTGGTCAATGATTTTGACCAGGCTTGAATTGATTTTTCTTTTTCTTGGTTTGTAGGTCAACCGTGAGTGTGTGCGTGGATTATGGGCGGGCAGCTCCAAGAACTGATCTTTCTCCGGAACCGTAACCCTGAGCGTGGCTCGATTCAAAACGCTAAGCAGGCGCTGCGAAACATCATCAATTCTTCTTGTGATCAGCCGATAGGTTATCCTATATACGTGTCACCACTCACTACGTCATATGCAGACTCCAATTCTCAACTCGCTAGAGTTGTAGGCGGTCCTTTAAGTTTCAACGGCATTGCCGGTTGTCTTGGCCGTTTGTGGCACCGCATACGCATGCGCTGTGGAGCCACTTGTCACAGTGGTGGAGATATCCCGGATGGCACAGTGCCGGACATTTCTATGGGCCAAGTTTTGCGGAGCGTTGTACGAGTTTCCGCGAGGGCCCCATTTACATAAGCACCCGTAGGTCAACTCCGAGTTCCTCTTTCAATAGGAGCCAAGCGGGCTTGCGTACAAGTCAAAGGTCTACTGCAAGCTCAGGCTCCAAGAGACCCAGCACATTATCAGTGAGCACAGCTCAGCACCAAGCATCTCAACACCAGAGCCCTGGGGCTGCCGCGGCGGAGGACTTGACCCAACGTGTACGGATTATTGACCGCGGGCAAGTTTACGATAGTATTAACTTGGGACGTAGGATTGATGTTCAGTGGCCTTCAGAGCTCATGAGGGAGCGTGGCGGGAGATCTTATTGGAAGGACTGGAACCCAGTAGAGGGTGTAGAAGGGACTGTGGTACATCGATGGACACCATGCCACAGGGACCCTGCTAGAAGGAGCCATGTGGATCGGCCGATTGTTTTGGTTAAGATTGATGACAAGTTTGTGCCAGTAGCTGAAGCAGGAGTCATGGACGCTGGCATTGAAGTATAAATCTCGTACTTTGTTTGCGACCTGTTGCTTTGAAAACAACTTCAGTCAAGTCCCTTACTAACCCTGTGAGCTCTGTGATCAAGTCCCTTACTAACCCTGTGAGCTCTGTGATAAAGTTCAGTCAAGTCCCGTACTAACCCTGTGAGCCTAACAGTCTGTGATGAACATCTAATTTCTCCTTTAAATGTCAATACAAGTCAAGCATGCGGGTCATAAGAATATAAGAACTGATCACCAAGACAAAAATTCATTGATATGTAACCAGATTCTCCAACTAGTGTTATAGGAAATGTACGGAGACCAGTAAGGAGAATTTGTATGTTGACTCCAGGGCTTATAGGGTTAATTACAGTGTCAGTAGTAACATTTGAATACTTCTTGTTATGTGTTCCAACATATTTAGTCTAACTAATTCGCTTTCACACATTCCTTTGAATTGTTATGTTACGATAGTTTTGTGATAGTTGTGTTCGAAACGCAATGGATCACAAAGATATACTGACAGGCAATGAAGCAAACCACTGTTGATGAGCATCTTATTGCTTTCCTGATAAAGAAGATCTTGACTGTTCTAATATTTTCACAGTTTTAATACTTAGCTAGCGAACAATAAGAATCTAGGAAACGTAAAACATGGATGTTACCTAAAACGTGTAATGCAAATTAATGCAGTTGTAGATAAAGGTAAACTGTAAATAATGGTAACATCTGTTTATAGGTGGATCAATTGTACATAGCTGAATAAATGGAAAGTACATCAAGCTATGACGCGTTGTTGGTAGTATTATCGTAAAGCTAGTGAGTGTAGTGAATGGTCTCAATAACTTTCTTAGTAATCAAGTCCAACTCTCAGATATTGAACAATCCCTATCTGCCTATCAAAGCTAGAACTTAGCCCATGATACGATTGGACTGCGAGCAGTCTCGTGATGGGAGAAGAGAGAGAGAAAAGGTCTAGAAAAATAGCGCGCGAAAGATGGAGCGAAAATGGGTGTCATTCATAGAAAAGTGACGCTAACAAATGATGCAATCCAACCGTTTCTAGCCCGAATGTACTTTGCACTCAGACTTAGATAAGAACTCCATGCGGGGAGTGGCACTTTAAAACTCGGAATCCCACTGGGAAAACCATACCGTAAAAGCTCTATTAAGCCCCCGGGGGGCTTATTTAATTCAGGTCTCAAGAAAGGGGGACTTATTAGAGAGGGGGCGGGCTAAATAGAGCTTTTACGGTATTTGTTTTCTTCCCTTGTCAAATTTTATATCGTAGCTTGCTGGGAAAAGTGACGGCTAGTTTTATCGCCGCAACAGTTTGTTCTTCGTTTCATGAATATGCGCGTAGAATGTCAAAAAAAAATCAAAGGCTCTCGTGAGCCAGCTCAGCAATGTAATTGGAAACTATGAACAAACTTTAAGGTCAACACAATAAGCTACAATAACAGGCAAAAAGGCTTTGCAGCCAAAAATTTTGATTCAAATAAACACTTTATTTGTTTTCGGTTCAAAGCTATCGATCGATCGATCGAATTGTATACGAAATTACAAAAGTTTAAATTAAAAAGTTAAATATTTGTTATAAAGCAAATAACACATACTGTAGACATAACAATTACCGACCGTCCTGTGGTGTCAGTTTTCCTTTCCTAGATCCTAAGTCTTGAAATCCATTTGAAGTGAAGGGCTCCAGAGTTCAGTTGAACACTTCAATTTCCGGATCTTTTTCGGCGGTCGAGCCTAAACTATGCCCTGGTAGAACCGTTCTGTTATTCCTGGTGTTTTTGAAGTTGTATAACCCCTTGATTCATCGGTCGGGCATGGGTCCAAATGTGCTTCGATATAGAAACCACAGATTTCCGTTCGTGAAAGAAATAATTTCAATCCTTCAGTAGCATTTCTCAAACCGAGGAACGAAGGAATCGCAGAATCCGGGCGCAGAATGTATCCGTTTGTTGGCATCGGATCTCCAAAAAGGTTATATTTTAAATGTGTAAGACGAGAGAAATACCGTCCTTACAGAAACAACCGGCCGCCATTTTATTTTTGCAATGAGGGCCGGCTATAACCCCCGACCCCCCCGACCCCTAATGCCTACCAAATATTGCGCCCGCAATATTTTTTAGTGTTGTGATTTCCCAGGCCTTATACACTGGTCAGCGGAATTACCAAGAAAAGTTTACAAACGCCAAATTTCCCCACAAACCCGAAAGCTCATCCTTCGCGCATGCGCGCGAATGCTGAGCTAAAAACTGAGTTAAGTCGGTGAATTCAAATCACAAGTATCAGTAGGACCCTCGAGAAGCTGCGGGACAAGCGCTTGTGTTCAGGTTGCGATTGACTCAAACATCGTACTAAAGTCACCGTTGCAGAATGACCGAGAAGCCAGGTGGGCAATGGAGGGTAGCGAGTTCAGTGTCTTCCATACGTGTTTTTAAGCACGAAATTAGCAATATTCTCTTACAACAGAGAAGTAATGGAACGGCTACAGGTTTACTCTTCTGCCAAACTTAATTTGCCAATGCGTACTGAAAAAGAGGCATTAGGATTTTTACAAATTGATGAGAAATTCTCCTGCTTACGAAATATCAATATGGGGGGGGAGACCCCCTAGATAATCGCGCCTTGGTAACAGTTAAAATTATATTAAGATAAATATATTAACTTAAACGTACTATTGTACTAAAAAAACAGGTTTAATTTTTTTGGAGGGGGCCAAGGGTGGGGGTCATCCATAAAAAAATTACCCTTCAGCATGAGGGGGTCATGTGATAAAATTGAAAACTTTGTAAAAATCAAGGGCCAACGGACAATACAAAGGTACTGGATCCTGGTGGATCTAATCAGCAAATTTAAAGAATGAAAATACAACAAAGAAACGCTGACTGAACGGTTGGGATAAATGTGAATATATTTTCCAACTAACTCCAAGAAAAAAACGTTACAATTTTAAACACCAAAAGACAAAAGAATATAAGATTATAAGTAAAAAACGTTACAATTCAAATAACTGAGAAACAAAAGAATATAAGATTACAGGCAAAAAAACGTTACAATTCAAATATATGGGAAACAAAAGTAAACATGATACCGAGTCAAAAATGAACGGTCCCTTATCCTTAACTGTATCAATCGACTGTTTTAAGAACAATGAATAACTGCAGATATCAAAATTACAAATGTATCTTAAACAAACAGATAATAATTGCATACTTATTTTTTACAGAAAAACTCTCGGCCTGTACTTCTTAAATCCCAAAAAACAATAAATAGGTCACCTGACAAACAAAATGAACTAAAGTGATTATTTCCCATTTTTTCCCCTCATATCGTAAATTCGGCATGCTGAAAATTGGTGGGGAATTTTAACAAAATACGACGCCTTTAAAAATAGTTAAATCATATTTCTAAACCTTTTTAAATACTTCTACATGAGGACATTCCAAAAACATTAGTATTGATTACGACAGCCAAAATATCAACCTACAATCAGCGACAAAAGTAGTTGAGACACTTTTCAGAAAATGACACTATGCGATATTTTACCGGTCCAGCTGCTCCAAGTGCATCTAGGGATGATCGACGTGATCCTCTAATCCCCAGCCCCCCTTATTTAATGCTGTGCAACTAAAAATGTCTGTGCAAATGACTCGCAACATTGATTGGGTGGGGTGGGGGATCAAAAGTATATAAATAACATAAAATAAGTCCACAAAAGTAAAATGCCTCAACACTTCTGTCGCTTGGACAAAAAAATACCGATGTTTTTCGATAAACACCGCGTTCACAAGATCGAGTTTTAAATGAACGTACCTGGATTTTATTTGAGGTCCGGTGTTTATTTGAACCCGACCATATGTAACTGATTCTTAATATGTGTGCTAATTTTAATTGGTTCAACCACCACAGTATACTAATGCAATCTTCACTATCTTTAGATGATGTTCTGTGTACAACAAATAAAACTGTCAATGGACTTATCTGAATGACAACGTACTAAGGAAAGTTGGACGGTACCGTCGTTTCCCTAGAATCAACTGAGTATAGCTCATTACGACTTGTTTTTAAAATTTTATCGACTAAAGACGATCTTCTGACTATATGTACAATGATAGTCTAGGCCTGATCTATTGTCATCTTTAGTCATCACAACTAAAGTTTTCTGATCAGTTGGATCCTCGAAGATGATAGTAGGATGAAATCCCTTTTCGGATTTCTCATCCATCCATTTGGATCTGGCAATTTTATCATCAAACCAATGACAACTTTGATCCTCTGGTGTCTCTGTCATTACAACAAAATACTGCCCCAGTCCAGATGAGTAACACAGTCCTGTCAGCATAGCTTTCCCTTCTTTATATTCCTTATGTATTTCATTCTCAGCCTCTGCCCATGTACTGCGAGTGAACCATGTCTGTGCCTTGTCTTTGTATTCCTCAGTGTCCTCTGTCATAATGACATAAAATGTTGAACCCCGGGCAGCACATGCAGTAATCTCAAATCCTTCATCCCATTTCTTCTTAATATCAGAAATGTTCGTTATAATTGTTTGACCTGTGCCGTAATTCTCCATGAAAAATACTCCAAATCCTAAATTCTCATCACAAGCAAGAGAATATATACGTTTGCACTTTCCATTTTTACTTGTCCACTGTTTGCGGACAAGTTCAAGGAAAGTGTCATAGTTTTTTCGAATCCCCCAGGACACTGCGGGTCTTGGACTGTACCTTTTTGAAGGTGAAAAACATCCACCAAAGGTTCCATGACACATACTTTGAGAGATCAAAATATTTTGAGAATTTCGAATATGGCTGCTGATGAAATCAGTGTATTCAGCTGTGTTATATCCACTGGTTATCGGAAAGTCTCGACGGTGTCCTCCGCTGTACATAGGTTCAGTACTAGGGCGTGGTTTCTTTCCAGTCATGAATAAAGTCAAATCTCCACCTTCACCTATAAAAGGATAGAAAAATCAAATACGTATATAATTTCTTTGAACGTCAGAGCTTATTTCAAGGACTATTTAACAATTAGACTACGAACCCAGCGGGTTTTGATAAGCGAATAGGCAACGAGGTGAAGACATTCCATTTCAAGGGAAACATAACGCCTACGTGATCGTTGTCTATCAGCGAAAAGTAAGCGATGAGGAACCAATCATATACGCGGATTTGCACTAGAACACGATTAGTATATACTTATTGTTAATTATATATTATACAATTTCTCAGTATCTCTATTCTCATTGGCTACGAACATACAGTTAATTCACGTTGGCATCGAATTGTTACATCATATCTACAGACAGTTGTGCGAGACGCGGTGGCCTAATGGTTAGCGCGCTGGACTCTGGACCCGCGAGCGGTCCTGGTTCGAGCCCTGGTGGGGGTCACTGTGTTGTGTTCTTGGGCAAGATACTTTACTCTCACAGTGCCTCTCTCCACCCAGGAGTATAAATGGGTACTGGCAACAAAATGCTGGGGGTAACCTGCGATGGACTAGCATCCCATTCAGGGCGAGTAGCAATACTCTTAGTCGCTTCATGCTACAGACACCGGGATAAGCTCCAGCAGTTGTGGGCCACTAGGCTTGTTAAGACTTTACCTACCTATCTACGGGCAGAATTGACGTCATACACGCGTGTCACGTTTCGTCTACATTAGCGGCAGCGGGAAATAAATTACAAGATTCCACGAATTAGTGACGGTTGGCATGTCGGAGGATAATGCTGGCAGCTAAGGGATGGTCCAAAAAAATAAACATTTGGCCGAGAAGCGAAGCGTCGAGGGCAAATGTGAAATTTTGTGGTCAATCTTTCAGCCAAGGCAATTATCCTCCGACATACCAGCAAGCCAGAAAGGGGCTTATTTATTTTAAAACCTTCCGATTAATTTTCACATCGCGCGTCGTGAAACCGCTTAATTAAAGAAAAAACTCAGATTGATCTGATGGCGATTGCGATTGATTGTCACGTTAAAATGAAATATATTCTTTGCAACGCCCCTATAATATCAAAACTTCGAAAACATGGCCGCGCTTTTAAAATTATTTAGCCATTGCGCATTCAAATTCAGATTGCAAAAAAAAAAAGCTTCGCAATTTTTTCCCAGTTTCCAAAGTTTCATAACTGGAAATCGGAAGAATTTGATAAAAAATCGGGAGAGTGGGAGGTAATACGTAAAATTGGGAGACTCCCAATCAAATCCGGAGGGTTGGAATCTCTGCCAGAAGGCAAAAAGGGAGATGCGAAGACCGGTGGTATAAACCAAATACCTACAATGCGAGCTCTTCCTCTGCAACTGACTTCTGGTTTTATAATGTACCCATGGGAAAGCACAAGCTTGTAAATCTGCTCACGGATATGTGAAAGAAAGCTGGTCTCACGCTCGCACATATATTTACATTCCTCACTGCATTCGAGCTACTTCAGTGACAGTCCTAAAAGCTGTTGCTTTAGAAAACTGCCGAGTGAAGAGCGTAACGGGCTACGCAAGTGATAAATCCATCGATCTTACAATGCACGGCCAACCATTAAGCAGCAGTTTGAGTGTTTACTGTCATCCGCGCTCGTCAGGCGGTTTAAACACAAATGAACTCAGTTCAACTTGCCTTCCAGATTGTTCACTTCACTTAGCTATTTCACCATTTTCAGCTGCGTCCTCCGCCATTCAGCAACAAACTGAAGTACACCAACAGTCCACCGTCGACGTGAATCCTTCAACTGCTCCAGACTATTATTTTTCGCAGGGACAATTGAAATAAATTGGAATTTTTTCATGAGACTGTGGACACGCCGTTTCTGACCAGTTTTCGAAAAGCACAATGGTAAAATGATTTGAAAAGCGCCTAATTTATGGAGTATTTGATCTTTGGGGCGTTGCAAAGAGTAAATTTGTCATGTCTTCGGTCTATTGCAAATTGAAGCACATGGTACAGAAACACGCATAAGTGCGCATGCTCAAAAATTTCAACTGCTAGCCGACACAGCGGCAAAATGAGTGCGCGTGCGCGCCAACCTGCTCGCTCATTTCCATACAAACATAATGGCGGCAATTCAAAATTCCCGGTATTTGTTTTCATTTCGCGTGGATAAGGCCGTCACGGAACAATAAGGTTTTTACCTTGAAAACAATTCCGAGAGAGACTCTTCTTTCACATATCTTTTTTAGCAAACTAATTATCTTTTCCACAATAGTGAATTTATCGCTCGAAGTCGAGCGATCGTAAGTGAAACACGAAAACATAGCTCAAAGAGTTCATGTTTCACTTACGATCGCTCGACTTCGAGCGATAAATTCACTATTGTGGAAAAGATAATTAGTTTGCTAAAAAATATATGTGAAAGAAGGGTCTCTCTCGGAATTGTTTTCATGATAAAAACCTTATCTGTTCCGTGACGGCCTTATCCACGCGAAATGAAAACAAATTCCGGGAATTTTGAATTGCCGCCATTATGTTTGTATGGAAATGAGTGAGCAGGTTGGCGCACGCGCACTCATTTTGCCGCTGTGTCCTGCTAGCCAAACACACTATAATATTCGACACCACAGTCTGTCAATTTTTGTATAAATAAAATAAAGTCAACCAATCAATTGTATTTGCTTACGTCATTCGCAGTCGCCGACATCAGATCGACACTGGCTTTTTAACTCATGAATGCTAAAGCAATGAACGGGTTGTAGCATTTGGTGGACAAATTTCACTCTCTCGGTCGATGGGTTGTGCACTTTAATCGCGCTATTAATTTATGCATATTAATTTATTCATTCACGATTAAAATCATAGGATCGTGCGATTAATCTTTCAATTGGTTTTGCGACCCGCGATGTGAAAATTAATCGGAGGGTTATAAAATAAATAATCCGCTTTCTGGCTTGCTGGTATGTCGGAGGATAATGCCCTTGGCTGAAATATTGACCTCAAAATTTCACATTTGCTTTCGAAGCTTCGCTTCTTGGGCAAATGTTTATTTTTCGGGACCATCTGTCAGTTGCAGGCATTATCCTACGATATACCAGCCGCCTGAAGGGGTTTATTTACTAAATACCCGTTCACTGATTGTGTACCACGTGACGCAATCCAGCCAATGAAACTGCGCGAAATTTTAAATTAATTGGTGGGTTATTACTTAAAATATCATTAGTCACTAGATTTTCAAATTGTTATTTGTAAGCTGAACTATTCAAGGGAGAGGATAAAGTGAATATAAAAATCTTCCGACCACAGAATAGTTAATCTGACTGGTGTAGTAATAAAATTGAGGGCTTTACGCACCTTTGGTATCTACAGCTGTAGAATACTCCGGGCATGCTGCTAGGCAGTGGAAACCCGCAATATTTTTTCAACACAGAAATTTGCCCAGTGGCCACTGTAACAAGCATCGCTGAAGATCATTGGGTAGTACGTTCCTACAGGCAGACTATCAACAATCTCTTGAATACCGATTGTCCCATCAGCAAAGCACCAGTTTCCAGTCCCAGTTTCTCCATGACCAGTGTAGTACAACATAGGATGAAACCCTTTACTTTGCATTTCTCAAAGAGTTTAGTGATATGTTCAAGAGCTCTGGACTTGGTTAAATAGAGATCCTTAACAGTGTTGAACAACTTCGTTCCAACTGCATCTTCCACGTTAACTAAATCACGAGAAATACCTGAAAGGAATGCACCGCTTCTGTTTCCAGGAGTATCCCGAGTTCTTCTATCAGAGATATTGATATCGCTTGGAGGATCTGTAGCACCTGCGAGAAGGAACCACAATGGCTCAACAGTAGTTGGGTTCCACTGTGACCACCTGTCAATCCGACCAACATTGGGTCCCTGTGCAATTGCAGAACCAGCAGAAATAAAAGGCATGGTGGCAGCCTCTATTATCAGCCTCTTTCGTCACCTAAGACAGACAAAAAATTGGCTTTTTAGTTTTTCGACAAATTTCTGAAAGTTTTGTTTGAAAATGTAAATGCATGCAACTGTCAGAAGCGAGAATGAATCGAATTATCCAAGGGAACAAAATGTAAGTTTAATGAAAATATATGTGTATCTATATTTGAATGGACCCACAAAAATGGAGTTTACTTGTTTTATAAATTCACTGATTTTCGCATGAACTCAAAATTGAACTGCACAACAAAGTTGTTACAAGGTAGATTTTTAGGTCTCCTTGTAGGGGATTAGTCAAGTAGACGAGAGCCAAAGACTTCTTCTTTTGGATCAGCTGTTTATTTGTGAGCTCCTCTCTCTGCCGTAGCCAGTCCAGCGCATTTCTTCTTTTGGAAATGTTTTCATCCGCCGACCAAAACAAACAATTATCCAATCAGAGCGCGAATTTGGAGTCACGTGGTGCGAAATTCACGATTGCGATCGCGCGCGAGTTGAAAGCTCTGAGTCGATCTAACGCGATGCTTTGAATGAAACAATCCAACAATCTATTTACGTTTATTTCTGGCCGGGATTAGCTGCTTGCTGGACGAGAAACATGGCTTTGATATATTTTAGCCTGCAATAAGTTGTGACGAGCGCTTGCCTTTCTTGTCGTGCTCAGATCGGAGATCGCGCTTCGTCCTTCGACAACCGAAGCTATACGAGTATACGCTTTCATGTATTACTGGCCGGGATCAACTGCTTGCACAAAGAGAAACATGGCTTCGATATCCTTAGCCAGCAATGAGTTGCGACTAGTTCTTGTATTTATATTCTGGTCGCGCGCTATGTTCAAAACAAGCTAAAACAGTATTGGTTTAGGTTACAGTAACAGCGAACAACTGGCGTGCTGCAACAGTCGACAATCACGCATCGATCGAGTTATTTTGCATCCCAAGCCTAACATGACCTCCTAAAATTTGTAGAAAGAGAAACAGGGCTGTGATATATTTTGGCCAGGAATCAGTATTGGGAGGAGCACATCGAGCCGTCTTGGTTCAGAAATAATCTATTTACGCTTACACGTATACTGTCCGGGATATATTTAGCTGCTTGCAGAAAGCGAAACATGGCTTCGATATCCTTTAGCCCAGAATGAGTTGCGACTAGCTTTTGTATTTCTCTTCTGGTCGCGCGCTATGTTCAAAACAGAGCTATTGGTTAAGTTATAATCGGCTGTTGTATCAAAATCGAACGCTGCAACAATACACCGCGCATATCCTAGGCCTGGTCTGTGACAAAAATTTGCAAGAGTGAACACTCGAAGGCTCTATTCTACGTGAAAATCCTCCACATAATACAACATGCTCGTTTACTGCGTTAAAAATAAAATTAAACACACCTGAAGCAACTGAGTAGGTCAGAAGACATAATTTAATATAGAGCAGCAAATGTCCTGTCACTTTTTAATACAACAACAATGAAAACGATGTTGATATCCTAGTTCTGTTGCCAGTTGTAGCGCTCATTTGGCGGATGTAC